TGGGGGTATTTAAAAGCCAGGCAGACGAGGTGCTTAGGGACAGGGTTTAGTGGTGGGATGGCAGGGGTAGGGGAACAGTTGGGCTTGGGGATCTTAAAGGGCTTTTCCAACCTCAACGATTCTGTGATTCTAAGGTTTTTGGCAGCACAGGGTTTAAGGCTGAAGCATCAGGTCTCACCCCATACGGCCCTGGGCAGCAGTAGAAGATACAAAGCCATTCAGCACATGCTGAGAGCTTGGGGCCACCAGGACAGTAGGGGCGAGCAGAACCCAGCTGTATGCACGGTGCTGAACACAGACAGTGCTTTACGTGGTAAAATGGGATCTGTCCCTCCACCCCTCCCCTCCAAGCATGTCTGGTTTTCTAGCAAAAGCAAAAAATACTCAAGCTGGAAGGAGGTGGTACCTGCTTTGAAGTTAGCTTGATCAGTGACCCTTCATAACCCTGCAGAAGGGAAGGAAGCAAGTCAGTGTTAGGTTCCTGAAGGAGCCAAGCTACAGCTGAGACATGACATGACAGCTTCAGGAGTTCCCATAGCACCAAACCTAAGTAGGGTTTGCAGCAGGAGCAGGTACATTAACACTTCTCTTCCCCCCCCCCCCCCCCCCCCCCCCAAACAACACAGAACTGAACACAAGCCATGGGATACCATGGTGGTTTCCTACCAAGCTTTCACAGAAGGCCTACCTACCTTCCCGCTTCATCCTCAATTCCCCTCCAACAGATCTTTGCTGCAAGGTTGCCCACAAGACAGCTACCTTTCCCACCAAAGACCAAATTTGAAAACCTTCTTACCTTGAATGGTCGGAAGAGTAGGTAGAGCTCTCTGGGCTTGATATCCACAGGAAGGCCACTGACAAACAGTGTCCGTACCTAGGAGAGAGGTCAACAAGGTCTACTGAAAGGAGATGCTTAGCACCAAGGCAGGCATACAGGGCACAGTTCAGAAGCTAGGTGCAACAGGAGGAGGACACCTTGTACCACCTTGCAGGCACTGACCCTTCCCTACATTAGGGGAGCATTGTCCAGGATAACACACACCCAGTCCTTTCCTCCCTGCAACAAAGGATTTGGACCTTTGCCAAAATTCAGCCTCCAGCAGAACAGCCTGCATTGATTGGGGCTGGTACCCAGGACCCACAGTCTGACTGGGCCTTGAGGACTAAAGCCTGAAAAGACTGCTAGGAGCCCAGACACTGCCAAAAGCACTAACACAGAGTTTGACGCATATCAAAGGTCCAGGAGAGACCCGTACAACCCCCTGTTTTGTCTGTAGCTCTTTCTACAGATCATATGCTAGATCTCCTTCCCTCAGCCTATCCTGGTGCTTTACTTCAGCCACCAATCCAAAGGCAGCCCTCAATTTTGAGGAACACCTCACCGCTGTACTCACATCTTTTGACCTCTGCAGAAGCCCCAGAACATCACCAGGAGGATGATTTTGGGGTCTGCCCCAGCTCCTTCACAAAATACACATCAGCCCCTTCAGAAGCGGTCCCAAACCAGCTCCTGCAGCATTTGTGCTATTGTGCCTGGCCAAAAGCCAGCTGCGCTGCACCAAGCCCACATAGGCAGCAGCTCTTTCCAAGCTGCAGAAGTCACGTACCAAGTCCAAATGCGCTCAGCACATATAAGCAAAAATACAGTGCCAGAGGAAGATTTCAATCGTCTGTTGAAGTTATCTATAACTGTTGACATGAACAGCCAGGAAGAAGAAACAGTGCTGAAGGCTAATGGCTTGGGGGAGCTCTGCTCAGTCACACCATCATGGCCACCTTCTCCCTGTACGGGGAGACCCTGACCAGCAGCCTATTTCCATAGGAAAGCAGCATGACGAAGCTGCCGAGACTTCTTGTAAATCAGCACAGAGCTGGAAAGGGAAGCTGTGCACAACAGAGGTCACCAAGACACCAGTCATCGCTACCAAGGACCGGGAGACCGCAAGCTCAGCCAGTGCTGACCAATAGGCAAGGGAAGATGACAGGAACGAGATGGGCTCTGTGTTCCTCACTTTTCATTGTACGGGGATGCCACCCGCTGAGCCAGTCCCAAACAAGCCTCAAGAAGGTCACAAGACAGCACAGATGCCCAAATGCTCAGAATGGCACCAAACAATGCCGGACACTTGTGAGCTGCCAAAACACACAGCAGGACCAGAAGCCCCAAGCCAGAGCACATCTCCTGGTCTGTTTCCAGTCTGGAGTGACCCCATTACGTTTGCAGGGCAGAAGCACTCTGCTCCCACATTATAGTTTCTGCTCAGCCATTTCCCCTTCCCCAAACAAAACTGGCTATATCTGACACCTCAGTAAACCTCTTTTTTGCCACCAAAGCAAGCAGCAGATGCTTGCCCTGCTCCTGGGCTGGAGACAGCACCACCTGAAAACGCAGGAGCATGCAACAGAGCCTCTACACCCTGAAACTCTTTGGGGGCAGCCAGATTCAGACTCCTCCAAGCAGGGAAGTTTCTCCTATTCATAGGAGAAAACACACACCTCTTTGAGCTCCTGTGCCCAAGACAGTCCTGCCAGGGCAAGGAGATACCCTTCACATCAACTTGGCAGGCAGCTCAAGCCCTCAGGGATGGATGGTGATCATCAGAGTCTTGGGGTCCTGGGCCCCTCTTGCTCTCCACACATGCTGAGACTATGGGCTGCCACTGGCTGGGGGACACCCCAGTGGGCTGCTACCACCTCCCCTAAGCACACAGAGCCCTCCTCCAGCCTGGCATATCTCAAGAGTGCTGCAGAATGAGCATCCCTCCCCTCTCCTGATCCCTCAGCCCTACCACGCACCCCAGCGTTCACTTTGCCCTGCCTAGGGAAGCAGGATGCAACCTGGAGCACCCCAGAAACACATGCCCAGGCTTGGCTCTACGGTCTCCCCCCCCCAGCCCAGCCCCTCATTTAATGTATCACTCCACAGCCACCTCACGCCCAGACAGAGTGGGCAACGGCACCATCTCTTGTCTCACTGGCTGCCTTGAAGGCTTCAGTGCTTGCGCTTCAGCATGAGCTACAGGGAGCGCCTGCAGTGCATTCCCAGAAGACACACAGCCATCTCTTGCAGGGAAGGACTGTGCCGAGCGCAGTGGCACACACATGCCTCCACCATGTGAAAGCGCCATCCCTTTTCAATATTTCAGGATATGAGTGTGCTCAGCCCCCAGAATGGATGTTTCTTCCAAGCAGATAGAAATCTGCATCTCTGTTGGGTCTCTAAATAGTCCCGTGATGCGTGGCTCAGTAACTCCTTGCGACAGGCGTGATGGAATGGAAGCTGCACGGTTGCTCAGGGAAGAAGTCAGCTACTCAGAGCCCTTACAACAGCCCAAATGGAACAACACGGGTGCCCAGGAAAGCTCTCTGTCAGAGGTAACAAGCTCCTCATGCCAGCCCCGTAAGTTGCCGCCAAGGACAGGAGCAAGAGACCTTCTCTCACAGACCAAAAGCTTCCCTCGGCCTCCAGGTCCGAGGCATTGGAAAGGGGATCGCAGCCAACCCACAGCACCCGCCAAGGGCTGGCATCACCCCAAAGAAAGCCTGGGCAAGCCCAAATGCCACCAGCTAACATCTTCAAACAAGGTTTCCCGGAGAGTCTCAAGGTTCCTGCTCAGAAGAGCTTGTTGGAAGCGATGAGACCAAGCGGTTGGTTTTCCGAGATCTCTACAATTTGGCACATCCATGAGCGATCTAGAAAAGGGTGAGGGGAAAGTGAGACCAAGCTATTTGGGGAAGGGAGGGTGAGTCTGGCAAGAGACACAAGTGATCCACTCGAGGGACACAGTCAGGTAAGCCAGAGGGAGATCACTTCCGAGACCTGGTGTAAACACAGGATCAGCAGCATCAGAAAGCAAAGGAGATCAGAGTTAACCCACAGGGGAAAAGCAGGAGGTGACTTGCCAGTCCGAGCATCCTGTGTGCTGTGGGCAGCCCTGGTCCAGCCTCCCCACCTCCTCCCAAAAAGGAGCAAACTATAGATGAGGGCAACAGGGTCTGGACAAGCATTTTCCAGTAGATTAACCAAACCGGGACCCTCCAGTCACCCCTTTGCAGCCCAAGGCTTTGAGAGGCCACTAGGACAACCCAGGGCTGATAAACTCAGGCTTCCAGCCCTTGCACTCAACACACCAAGATGGGGTAGGCTTCTGTTTAAATACATTTGCCCAGCTTCAACTCGCTGCCACCAAACACCAGAACCATGAACCAATGCACCAGAACCAGACCCAACCACCACACACAAGAACACACAAAAATAATAAAATTACCCAACCAGGGCTAGATCAGGAGCTGCCTGGGGCAAACCACATGTTGAGCAGGAGCTTGGAGAGGACACAGAAGAAGCAGATCTCCAGCATCCCCATTTTGCCCAGGACAACTGCTCTCAAGCGGAGACGTGGGCAGGGAGCAGCTCTCACCTAGGACAGCCCTGCAGGGTCACGCTGCTGGACCCTACAGGGATATCCCTGGTCCAGACACCTGGCAGAGATGGAAGAGAGCAATGGAAAGCGGGATTTGTGCCAGGAGAGACAAGACCACCTAGGCCATCTCTTTGAGAGGGAGGATCCCAGCATAGCTCCCCACGCAGGAGGAGGGAGGGACGAGGACAAAGCCATTTAGTGCTCAAGGCCTCAGTGGTCAAAGGCAGCCTTTCAGCAGCCACATCTCCCCAAAAAGACATGCACCCAGCACCAGCACAGCCAGGTTCTCTGCCCTGAGGCTTGAAAGAAGTCCAGCAGCAACACCTGCCTCTTCCTACCACAGCTCCATGCCCAAGTCAGCATGCGTTTTCCAACAACCATGTCTCTTGGCCACGTCTGCTTTTAAATAAGAGCTCTTGAAAGGGAGTCCCAAGCGGAGCTGGATACTGCCTTGCAGCCTGGCGAGGGCCACGTTACATCAGATGCAAAGGCATGAGTGCCCACCTCCAGCGAGGCTGCTCTGGTAGGTCTCCAGCGCTGGGGTTTTGTTAAGAGACAGCTCCAAACGCTCCCAGAAGCCAGCAAGGCTGACCTTCCCCTTCTGAGAGATCAGCCCTTTGGCTGCATTACCCACAGCCCTGCCTTTGCACAGCTGTGGCCACACTGGCCTCCCAAAATCAGCTAGGTCCTGGGGTCATGCTCCCAGCACCTGGAACACACAAGCCCTTTACCCAAGGGCAGTGACAGCAGGAACATGCTCCAGTGCCTCATCCACCCCACTGGTCACCCTCCCTCCCCACCCCCAGCTACCTGCCAGCTTTTTTTCCTGGAGACAAAGCATCTCACACTCGTTCACACCAATCCATCCACCGATGGAGGGAGGGAGCCCCACGCCATCCTGCTGAGGACAGGGACAAGCTGTGCCACACCGTCCCAACGGCAGTCCCAGCTCCAAGCAGCCACCCTGCGGTCCCAGCAGCTCAGGCACAAGGGCTACAGCTCTTCCCATGGGAGAGCATCCCAGTGGGGTGCTCTCTGGGCATGCGGGGCTGCCAGCAGAGCCACAGGGGATACAGAACCCCAGGCCTGGCCACTGTGGTGCAGCTCAGGCTGCTTGACACAAGGCGAGGAATGCGGCGAGGCTGCCAGAGCCGGGACTTACAAGGCATGGCAGCGAAAGGCAGGGAGGCAAGCTTGCAGAACAGGGCTGCTGGGAGGGAAACGCTCAGGAGCCCAGCCGCAGGGCTTAAAAATGGGACAGGACCCTCATCTCGCTGCGCCAGTGGGACATGGGGCTGCACGGGCCCCGCTGCTGCGCAGGGTGGTTTTGCTCCTCAGCACATCAGATTCCCAGGAAACAGAGGGGAGGGGAAAAGTAGGGAGAGAGATGGCTGGTCTGCACTGGGGAGAGCTCAGCAGGGAGGCAGGGAGGCCTCAACGTGTGCCTCCCAGGCAGAACAGGCTTGCTGACAGGCTCCTTCACCCCTCTGTACCTCAGTTTCCCCTCCCACCAGCAGGGCTCAACAGCAGAGGGGCTGCACAAGCTGGCTGCCCACTTGCAGTTCCAGCGCTAGCAGAACTCCGATATCCTCAGGCAGCTGACAGGACGGGCAGCACTGAGCCCCAGTGCAGGATCAGACCAGAAGCTGCTCCAGCCAGGAAGCCCTGAGCAGCCACAGGGCACACACCCCCAACACCCACCAGAAAGATGTTCACCCATCTCCAGAGGGGAAAGAGGGCCCTGAACCTCCCCCAGCGCCCGAAGCAAAGAGGGCTTCAGGCAATTCCCTCTGAAATCAGCCTTTTTCACAAAAGGCACCCAAGGACCAACATCCTGCTGGGCCGGAGGGGCGGAAGGCAGGCTGACCACAGGTGAGCCCAAGCACACAGGCACTGTGTCCCCAGGGCTGGGTCTTTTCACACATGACAGCACTTACAGCCGGATCAGCCCCTCCCCAGCATCGCTTTTCCCCCAGGCCAGGCAGGGGGATATCAACGGGGCTCGGCCACCCCTGCGGTCAGGGCAGGAAGGGGAAGCAGGGAGATGCATCAGCCCCTGCCTGGGGGAGCAGGAAGCACATGGGAGCCGATAACTCCAGGCACAACGGGGCAGCACCCAAGAATAGTCCGTGGCCCCAGCGGAGGAAGTGCCGCTGGTGTGGATCTGCAATAGAGAACCCCCCTGCTCCCCGCTATTGAGTCCCACCCCCTGTGTCTCTGCAGGATCTCATGGAAAGGATGGCTGGCACCCAGGGGAGCTCGGGCCACAGAACAGGTCCAGAGCTGTTGAAACATTCAGGGAGGCCAGCCCCGCAGCCCCCAAGGGATTGCTGTCCCAAGCGGCACAGGGAGATGCCGCTTGAGCACCCTCAGGATGCTTCCACCCTGCCAAGAGGTTCTCCAAGCTAGGGGAGACTTGCATAAGCACCACAGCCAACACACTGAAGGACACTTGCGTCCATGCTTGTGCTGCCCAGCCCACTGCACGGAGCCCCTGGCTCCAGAGACCCAGCGGCACTTCTGGCACCCCCCAATGTTCAGGGACCTACAGGCACCTTGCACCATCCGCCGGAGCCATGGACCTTACCCATGGGGACAGCTCTGTCACTGTGTGAACCTGTTGTAGACCAGCTCCTCCTGCCCACAGGCAGGCCTGTTTCCTCCTGGCAGGACAGGCAGAGGTGAGAGGTGCTCCTGCCAGTCTGCCTGCCCTGAGCAGAAGGCATCAGGCTGGATGCAGGACCCTCACAGGGGACGTCCTCACCTCAGGCTCTTAAGCAAGTCCAGCTGCATCTGCTTCGCCCCACCACAAGGTGATTCCCAGGCACTTTTCGGTCCCATGCCTCCTGCCCACAGAGCCAGGACGCATCCAGAGAGGCACATGAATCTCCCCTCCAATCAAACCGATTTGGGGCAGCACACTAATGGCCGTGCCACAGCCCCACGGAGCACACCTGGTATCTCTGCAGCCCAGCAGCAAGCAGGTTTCCACAAAAGCCAAGCGATGGTGAGCTGAACGCCTGCGGCAGCTGCTGGCAGAGGTTACTGGAGCGTCACCCCAGTCACGGGGAGACCTTTGGGGACACCAGTAAGGTGGCAAGCACCCACAGGACTGAGCCACCACTGCATTGGTCCTGCTCTGGGCAAGGCAGGGTCCTCTAGGCAGCAGGGAGGGGCTGAGCTACCCAAAAATGGACCAGAAATGCCAGCACTAACCAGTGCCATGCTCCAATCTCCCTCTGCACCACAGTGCACTCCCCCCAGAAGACCCCAGGCAGGTACCCAGGCTGTAGAATACAGAGGGCGAAGCAGAGGTAAGACCACTAGCCTGGGAGAGCCCGGGGAGCAGGACAGAGTGCAGAGCACGAATGGACACCACACACAGCCCAAGCTTTAAGGTCCCTGCTAGAAACAGGTCATGTCCCAGCCGGCTCCCCACTGGCATCCCACCACAGACAGGGAAACCCCGGGAGGTAAAGGTCCCTTCCCTCCTCCACTATCTCCTGAAGGAGCTGGGTACTCTCTCCAAGTCCACAGCTTGCCCTGCACTGCCTATAGCCACTGCGATAGGTG